GGGGCTGCCGCCGCGGGGTGGGCCCGGGGTGAGCCCGGCAGAACCGGGGGAGAACTGGGGAGAACGCGGGGGAAGCTGGGGAGGGGCCCGGGGAAAACCAAGGGGAACCCCGAGGGGAGGCGAGCGGAACCGGAAAGGGTTTGGGGGGAACAGGGGGAGCCCAAGGGGAGCCGGAGGTGGCCCCAGGGTAGCCGGGCCCCGGCGCCCCCTGGGCAGGAGCGGGCCCGAGGAGAATCACAGGACGGGTCAGGTTGGAAGGAGCACGGTGAGTCATCTGGTCCCACCTCCGGTTTCACAGCATTGCATCCAGATGTTTCTGGAATATCGCCAATGAGGAAAACTCCACACCCTCTCTGAGCAATGTTCTAGTGTATGATCACCCGCACAGAAAAGAAATTCTTCCTGATATTCAAGTGAAACTTCCTATGTAACATTTTCTGCCCTTTGGCTTTTGTCCTATTGCTGGGTGCCGCCCAGCAGAGCCTGGTCCATGCTCTGAAGTCTCTCTTCAAATAGGGACAGACACTGATGGGCTCTCATGTCAGTCGCCGTCTCTTCTCGAGGCTGAACAGGCTCAGCTCCCTCAGCCTTTTCTTGTAAAAGAAGTTATGTTCCATTCCTCTGGTCCCCCTAGGCTTCTTGACAGCCTCTCCTCAAGTCACCTCACTCCCCAGCTGCCCCCGAGGCCACCCAGGCACGGCCCCTTGGCGAGGTGAAGCTGTCACGCACAGAAACACACGCAGGAGTATTGAACCATCGGTCTCTGTGAGGGGAAAGAGGGACAAGTGGTACCCTGGGCTTGCTGCCCCTGGTCACCTGGCCCCGTTTTCCATGGTTAACTTCCTTGGTTTCTGCTTTTCTCCAGGTCAGCCAGCAAGTCCACAATCTCTGCAAAACAAAAGGACGGCATTAATCAACACAGAGGATTTCTTGTGGGCTTGTTTGGATTTTTTTAACAGATGAGAAGATGGCTTTCCCTCACTGGTAACAACTGGGACATGCAGTCACACTCCCCTCGGGCCAGCACAGACGGGCAGGGATTAGCAGGGGACAGGCCTGAGCAGACAGCACAGCCCAAACAGATGTAGCAGTGTTTATGGAAACTCCTTCGTGAACAGCTGCAATAAGCTGTCCTTCCAGCTCAGCACCACACAGTGGTGGGTGTTGGATTAGGGTCATATTAGACTAATAAAGCCATCCTGTTTCCTCAGTGTGGCTTTGCCAATGTCTCTAATGATATTTTGGTGTTTTCGCTTCAGCCAGGGCGATTCCCTGTGCCAGGGTCTGCTGAGGAAGGTGCTGGTGGGAAATGGAAGCACACAGATGTGACACTTGGCTTCTTGGGCACATTTCCCACATCTCTTGTATGGATCTGGTTCCGTGGGATGGAGTGGATGAGACTGAAGGAAGTTTTCTCCCATTAGACAGATGAACCAAGGGAAGGGTATGACCTCTTTGACTTCAAACACAACAGAAGCATTTCTCTCTAATTTCTTGATGTAACTGTTGTATCTCCTGATGGAGACCAGTTACTCATCTGATCAGACACAAACCAGCTTCAGAGAGACTGAAAACTTCCCTGTCATAGAGCAATGCCCAAGACTGCAACTGCAGGAAATATTCCTGCAGAGCATTGAGGTACTCCTCCAGCTTATGGGATCTGCAGGAGATGAGTGGGGATTAACTCACAGACCCCTATTTCCAGTTCAGTACTTGTCAGAGAAAAAGCTACTTTTATGTGATGCCAAATGAACAAACAGCTTGGTGATTATTGTCATGTTATTATTAACATGTCAAATACATGTTAATGTGTGAGGTCTGGAATTGGGGAACTTGTTAGCATAAAAAAGAAGGTCAAGGCAGGATCCCAAAACACAAAGCTAGGCAAATTCATGTGGGAATTAAGGGGCAAACTGCCAGCTGAAGTAGCTGACTGAAGGATGCAAAGGGCCTGTGGAGCAGGACACTTACCCTCAGCAGAAGGGCGTTGAGAAGGGTCAAAGGCCCGGCACTGTTCAATGACTTTCCTCAGGTCTTCAGGACAATCTTCCCCAAGAGGGTCCCAGTAATGGTGATTGCAGATTTTCTCCACAATCTCCTCAGGAGTGCAGCCTAGACAAGAAGTGCAAACAGGAGTGTCAGGATGGAACTCTGCTGCCACAGGAGGGTGCTGGGGAGAAAGCGCAGAGCAAAGCCATGCTGAGAGCCTGCCTACAGCCTTTGGCAGGGAGCAGCCAGCAGGGAAGTGACCCAAACTCCATCTGCAATGAATCCCACTGTATTTGGCATGACACTGTTGGGCTCCAGTAGAGCAAGATGTGTTTATGCTTAAATGCACAGGACCATCCAATAGAAACAAAAATTATTTGCATGTTTGTGGTTTAAGCAGATTGCTTTACTATAAGCTGTACTTTACTATATTGGAGTTTCAGGGGAAGTTATAAAGCTGTTATGCAGAATCAGGCACACCAGGCACTGCCACTGGCACCTGCATGGGATACTCAGGGAAGGAGCAGGGAGCATCCAGTGCTAGACAGGAACCACAATGTGACATGTGGCTTTTACACAGGGAACCAGATTCTTCTAGCTCACCTTCAAATGGGATTTTGGAGGTTGCAATCTCTGCCAGAACGATCCCAAAGCTGGAAGGAGAAAAGCAAGAGTCTCAGTATTCATTCCACCATGTATTCCTCCCTTCTAATGGAGAGGACTGTTGGGCTATGCCAACTGGAAGCACCTGCTTGTGTATCCGATTAAAACTGGCCTCCTTCCATAGCTCAGCAGCTACTCTGCCAGACACCTGCCTACTCACAGGTATCTCCTGGGAGGGACAAACACACCTGTATATTTCACAGGGCCTCTTATAAGGGTAGTTGATGTCTTTCAGGTTCTCTGGAGCGATGTAAGCCAACATAGAGATTTGTTTCCATTCCTTCTTGACTTTCCTCTTGATGGATGATTCTGTTTCACACAGCTCAAATCCTGACAGCTGATTGAGAGAATGAGAAAAAGAGAAGTAGAAACCTGTGGTGCAGCTGACTGCACCTGAGATGAAGAGAGCAGAGTGAGGTGCCCTGGGCAGCAAAGGCTGGTGTGCAGCCGTGTGTGCTGCCCAGCACGGGTCTCTTCCTGCAAGCAAAACCAGAGGTGAAGGCAGGTGAATTGTCCCAGCTTCAGCTCATCCCAGGCTGGATGGTTTAGGAACACTCACTTTGCTGATGGTAAGACCAAGGTAGGGAGGTTTAAGTACCTAAAGTTATTGGGCAGATGGCTCTACCGTGTTTTATCCTGGACCATCACAACTCCCTTCAGTGTTCTTAGGTGGAGACATCCACAAAACCATTTAAAACTCACAAAAGCATCTCCAAGTGTGGTTCTTACCTTCACACAGTAATCGATGACAAGAATGGACTGACCCATCTCCACCTTGGCCCTCCCTCCTGCTTTGAAGGGAATGACTGACATGCTTCCAGAGAAGCCAGCAGCTCTCTGCCTGTCTTGGTGGATCAACCGTGCCAAGCCAACCTTTCCAGCAGGGGCTGGAAGAGCTGCTGTGGGCAAAGCCACAAGCCTTGTGAAAGAGCAGGACCTGTAAGGATAACTGGCCATGCTGTAGGGTACTTCCAAATCTGCCCTGTAGATCTGGGGAAGGGGATTTTCCCCTTCCAGGCCATTGTAGGCTTGAAGCCATATGTAGGGGACAGTGACCAGGGTAGATGGGAACTACTGCATCCAAATCCTACCCCTTCACCAGCCTCCCATTCCAGTGTCCCAAGGTGGTGTCACTGGGAATTAGTGTCTAACAGGATACCATGGCTTACTCTGAGATGCCAGGAAGCTGCACTCAGCTTTTGGATTATCAGGTGGAGTTACTCACTGATTTATACAGGTGCTCACCTGTAAAGGCCTCTGGCAGCTCCCAGGGCCATCCGAATTCGGATATCCCAGGAAAGATGCTGCTGCTTGTTCAGCACATCCCGCAGTGTCCCGTGCTTACAGTACTCCATGATGATGGAGAAGCAGGGGCTCCCATCTGCAAGGCAAAATCATCCTGTCTTGTGCCATCTCTTGGGAGGGGACCACAAGGCATGTGCCACCAGCTAGCCCTGGGAATGGCAGGGTTGGAAAAGGGTGACATTAATGTGACAGCCCTACCATTCTCCTCAATGCAGATCCCATACATGCGCAGGATGTTTGGAGACTCAAACTTCTTTAGGGTCTGAATCTCCTTCTCAAAGATGTCTCTCACCTTGCTGTGGAAATGGACAGCACAGTGAGATCCCTGAAACAAGGCATGACATAGTGCTGTGTCACCCTTCTGGGGCCACACTTGTTCCCACCCAGGACAACTCACACTGGGTCAGTGGTCAGTGGCCTCTTGAAGGTTTTGATGGCAACAGGGTACTTGAGGTACTCGCCCTCATAAAGGTCGTAGCTCTCTGTGTCCTGCAGGTGCCTGTGGAAAGTGAGGTGGTCTCTCTTGATCTCAGTGATGTCTTCTCTTTTACCAACATTGACCTTCTTCAAGCCTGCTCCCACCATGTGCCAGAAAGGAACAAGGGACACATTAGGCAGGGCTTGTGGGGAAAGGACACAGGGTGCAGGTGGTGTGACACCGACTTACGCTCCATCTCACGAATGACTTTGTTCAGCTCGCTTTGCATCCAGTCCACCTTGCTCTCCATATACTCCCTGTCACTGTAGATCTTCTCAACCACATCTTTGGGCTCCTCAGTACCTAGGGAGAGAAACAAGCAGAGGTTGGGCCACTGGATGAACAAGCGTGACTGTGTAGTTTGTTTTTTTTTGTGGTTTAAATGTCCTTATGGCTCTTCATGGCCATGGCCATCAGCCAGATCTAGGCAGCAGCTGGAGAGAGGGATCAACCGCCAGTCACAGGCAAAGAGGTTTTGCTAAATGCACTCACTTGCAATCACCTGGTCCAAGAAAGCTCTGTCATCCCTCAGGTCCTCAGCATCCTGCCTGCGACATATCTTTGACTGGAAAGCTTCCAGGAAAGCCTGCTTCTGCTCTGCCTGCAGCAGGAGTGAGAGCCCCTGGGCAATGTCCTCCAGGCTTTCATTCACCCAGACAAACTCCTCACCAGTACTTCGGGCTCGCAGGAACTTCTGGATCCAGCTGGTCTGGCTGTATTTCATCACCAGTTTCTGGGCTTCCCCTAGTGCCTGGAGCAGCTTTTTCATCAGTTCCTCTTCATGGTGGGAGATGTGCTGTCGTGGCTGAGCCCTAAGGATCCTCACAGGCTCCAGCAGAATCTGGATGCGCTCCACGAGGCGCTGGCACTGGTGCTTACAGCACTTCACCTGCTCGAATTGGGCATAGATGGCCTGGGCCACAGAGAGGACCCTCTCCACGATGTCCATGCTTGCAGCAAAGGGCTTGGCCACTGGAGATGTGGGCTGGCACTATCTGGTGCAGGTAAGCCTCAGGCGTTGCTCAGAGATCAGCTAGATGCAGCTCTTCCACGCCTTCCACCCTAAGGAACACCCTGATATGGCACATGTCCTCCCACAGCCCCTCACATCTCCAGCTGCTTTGCTTTCTCTGCTTTGCCTGGCACTGCACCTGCTCATGCAGACTGGAACAGGCACACACACAGACATCAGTAGCAGCAGTAGTGGCACATCTTTCTCTGCATTAGCAAGAGATGTTTTGCCTTGATTTATGTACATTAATTTAGTGTGAACCATCCCAGAGATCTTCCACCCAGAGGAGCAGGGACATAATGACCCAAGGAGCATCCCCTGGGCAGTGTTCCTGGCTCTGGGCCCTGTATCACCCTGGGTTCCTGCCCCCAGAGTCTGTACCTTTGGCTGTAAAGATCTATTTTCATTTCTGCCCAATGTCTCTCTGTGTGGCCAGCCATCTAATAAAAGCTTGCACATCTTCACAGCCCCAGCTTCTCCACATTTTCTCCCCATAGCTCTGTTCTGCCCGTATAAAATTTTTAATCAAGCTCTTTCTATGCGCTCAGCATCCCCACAGGGATGGTGCCTGCTCCCCAGCCCACATGCAGCCAGCAAGGACAGAAAACCACCCCTGTTGCAGGGAAATAGCAGCAGCCCCTCTGATGCAGCCGGCACTAAGGGAGGGGGTTCTACTGTCTGGAAATGAGATGGAAACGCACCCAAGATCCAGCTGCAGCCACTCTCTTCAGGCTCTCTCCAGCACTGCCCCCAAGGAAGGATCTCCACTGTCCAAGAGAAAGTGTCTGTTACCTGGTCCTGCTTGGCTGGCCTCGGCTGCCTCCGCAGACTGGAGGGGCAGGACGAGCGCGGGTTTAAAGGGTGTCGCAGCGGAAGGGACATTGTGCAACCCAGCTTCCCACGCCATCACAGCTCCCAGTTCCCAGAAAGCTACTTGGGGTATTCCCAAGGGCTGTATGCCCTTGTGCTGGGTTTTACCCGATGGAAGAAGGAATTGCCCACAGGAAGTGCAGTGGGAAAAAGGGGATGGGGAAGTTGTGTCCCCCTGTATTGATGTTTCTGCTATTTTGAGCACACAACGCATTCTGCTGTGCTGGCAGCTGTGGGAAGGTTTGCCCAGGGCACTGGAACACCCACAGCAAGGTCTCTGTGCCCTGCTGAACTTCCTGCATGTGCAGTGAGACCCTCCAGAGCACAGCCCTGCTCCTCTCCCCATCCCTGAGCCCCAGGACCCCTCAAGACCAAAGGAGACGGGCTGTGGGCACCAGTGCTGGAAAGAGGGCTTGACCTCTGCTGGGAGCACAGGAAGTTTTGCAGATGGCTTCGTCAGAGGGCCAGACTGATTTTAGGAAGCTCTGGGGTGCACGCGACACTATTGCCCAACTTCAGAGAAGTGAGTGGCAGCTTCTGCTTACCCAGAGCCCCAGCATCACACAGGTCTGCTGAGAATACCCCCTGCAAATCTCCTACCTCACCGTGGTGGATGAGGGGAGCCAGGAATGGTGGCTCCAAGGGCCATCAGCACCTGGAAAAGGGATACACGAAGGGTGGGAGGACAGCCCTGGGGGATACATTTGCCACACCCTTTTTAGAAAGTTTTATTTTTCAAAATATACAGCTTATTTACAATTGTAGTGTCTATAGTTTTACATATAAATTTATTTCAAACGTTTAAATATCTGCAGTAAACACTAGGGAAAAAAATAATAAAAAATAAAATCACAGGATCAGCAAAAAAGGCATCTCAGTAATTTTTTTCATTGGAGTTTGAGTTTCAAGTAGCCAATGTCTATGAAAACCATGAACTTGATAAATCTGGCAGAGATACAGGTGCACTGGTTAGAAAAAGGCACAGTCCAGACCTGCAGGACCCACCCCAAGAGGGCTGCAGGCCAAGAAAACCCTGTGCTGAGATCAGGCCAGGAGAAGGACCTAGGACAGGGAATCCCCTCAGCATGAGTTAGGCAATAGGGGTAACTGCAGCGTGTTGGATGCCCTGGGGAGAGAGCACCCCAGGAGAGACAGGGGCTCTGGCAAGGTGCCAGGGCAGAGGAGGGAGGGCAGCATCAGGCACTTCATCTTTCAGGCAGCAGATCTGCCCGTGCATCCATAGCCTGGAGCAGGAGGGCAGTGAGGTAGGGGCAGGAGTCCATCAGGGAACCCCACAGCTTCCTCCTCCCCTTGCCTCACCATCCTCAGCCCCACATCCCCTTGCCAGTGCCACAGCTGGACCACAGCACTCCACAGGGATGCTGTGTTTGGAGTCACTGCTGTGGCACAGCTCCCAGGAAAGGGGCAGGGACCAGCTGGCCTCGTTGGGGGCTGGGGAGGGACACCAGCCCCAGTGCTGGGGGTACTGAGCCAACAGCTGAGCACTGGGCTGGGGCTGTCAGTCCTCTTTCTTGAAGGTCTCCTCAGGGATGAGTGTCCGGAAAGGATAATCCCAGAAGCGTGTGCTGATGCCAAAACCTGTGGGCAGGGAAGAGAGAGTTCAGCCCATGGCATCATTGAAGTGTTGCAAGGGCTCTGTGTTAAATGGCGAGGGAGGAGTGTCCATATTTTGGGAAGGGAGGAAGGCAAAGTGAGGACAAGGAAGAAGAGCAGAGGGAGCAGGAGCTGGCTGGGCCATGCCAACAAGCCCCATGGATGATAGCTTATCTGGATTGGGGCGTTTTCTCCTAGGAAACCGGGCAAAGGGCAAGTTGAGCAAGCACTGGGCTAGGGAAAGTGTGGGGTGGATCTGGGGAAGCCCAGGGCCTCACCCTACACCTGTCAAAGCCTCCCAGCAAGAAGAGATGCTGTCCTGGGGAGAGACAGGCACCCATATCCCAGCACTATGGGGGTTTGGCCTCTGCCCTGACATTCCAAGCAGCACTGACACCCACCAGTGAGATGGGCTGCTGCTTTCACCCCTGCACTGCTCTGGCTCCCCATCCTCAACCTGGGAGCCAGGAAATATTCTCCGTGGGCTACAGCACATCACATGCTGCTTCCCCAACAGTGCAGTGCTTGGCTTTCCTCATCCCAAATCCCAAATATATTGGAACAATCAGCTGCACACAAGCAGGTAGACTTGATCTTTGACAGCCCTTGCCCCTGCCAGCACGCATGGGGAACATGGTGCTACCTGATCTTTGGTGTTCAAAGTGGTGCTTGACATGATAAGCCTTCAGGCCATACAGGTAGGTGCCCTTTTTGGGTGAGCCGTAGTGGAGGTAATAGTGCATCATGTCGTAGATGACGTAGCCGCAGAGCCCCCCGACGAACACCGCCAGCCCCAGCATCTCGGGCAGCAGGAGCCGCAGGACTCCGTAGAAGAAGCCGATCACCAGCGAGGCTGGCACAGGAGGGAAGACCAGGCGGGAGCTGTCGAAGGGAGACTGGAAGCAGAGAGGATGGTGGGACAGGCAGCTCTTAGCTCACCCTCCAGCACATCCCTGCCAGGCATCGGGGAAACCCATCTGGGAGAAGCCAACACCAAAAACCCTCCCTTAATTTTGCCCGGTGGTGAGAGCAGCCCCCCATGTGTGCCAAGGTGCCCAGGCAGATGGTGGTTCTGTCTGGCAGGTGCCCAAACTCCACAGGGCCATTTCCTCCAGCAAAGCTAGAGGGAGCCTGTGGCTCTTTTGGTCTTCCCCCTTGCCCAACCACACAGCTTGAAAATTTAACTCCAGCTTCTCCAAGGCTGTTTTGCAGCCCTCGCTGGTATTGGGTAAGTGCCTCGCTTGAGATGCCACCAGTCACACTGAGCAGGCACGAACAGGCTCTGCCTGGGCAAAGGCCACGCAGTAACAGGCTCCAGTGGGGCAAAGGCCACCATTCCCACGGCCCTGCAGGCGCCAGCGGAGGCGGGAGCTGCGACTCACCTTGTGATGCTGACCATGCAGCAAGAAATGCAGGGTGATGAGATAGTAGTTACTAGCAGGTGGCTTCATGTGGAAGACAAAGCGATGGATGAGGTACTCTAGCAGGGACCACAGGATCATTCCCAGAAGGAAGATGAAGGGGAAGTAGTATTTGTGGACGGGGATGGAGTACTCTACACAACGAGATGTGCAGTGGTCAGCAGGGCAGGCAACGTGCAGGTGCTTTTATCCATCACTATCCCTCCCTCCCACCTCTCATCCACCTCCTGCCCTGAGCTTCTCTAGGGAACTACCTGCCCAAGCACTGCTCTAAACCACATTTTCCTTTGATTGCCATTAATTTACAGGAACAGTCAGCTTCTTGCTGCCTCAGGGAGCCAGTGAGGGGAGTTCCCTGCATTCCAGATGCCAACAGGGTTTTGGATGTGCACTCTAGGGACTGTGTCATCATTACAAAGCTGCTTCACGCACCAGAACAAGGCAGGAGGGACCTTAGTTGCACAGGCAGCACTCGTGACAGTAAAACAGTGCTGTTGGTGTTGGTGTTTATTTTTTTGGGGGGAAAAAGAATAGATTTGTTGGGCACTTTCCCCCGCAGAACATTTTTCAGCCACCTCCTTTCAGGGCTGGATGCCAGCCCCGTGTCCTTCCTGGCAAAATTTGGATTCCCTCAAAACCCGCTTAATTTTAGGAAAAAAACCCCACAAAACTCGGCAGCAAGGTGCTGAATGCCACAAGGAGCAGGGGCTGGCTGTGCAGCAGGCGCTCCCCACCCCACAGCCGGGCACAGCTGGCACTGGGTGGCACCTTGCAAAAAAAATAGGGAACCCAGGAAAAAAAAAAAAAAAAAAAAAAAAGACAACAAAGAAGACAGCCTGCCCGGGCCACGCTTGTTATTCCCGGGGGAGCAGGGAGCAGACAGTGGGAGATTCAAGGGCAGGCGTTTCGGGCAAACAAGCCTCGCACTGTGAGGCGCCGGCGGCGCTGAGAGCCGGGTTTGTTCGCCCGCCACGGCGGCATTCAGCCCCAGCCCGGGGTGGGCGTCAGCCACGATTGGAACCCACCCCAGCACCGGCAGGGCTCGGTTTTGGGGACTGAGGGAACGGAGGCAAGAGGGAGCAGACTGCAGCCCAGGCCAGCGGGCTCTGTGCCTCTACTGATCTCCTGCGGGGACCAAATCTTGTGGTGAGAGGAGGGGATGGAGGTGGGCAAGTACAGGTGGCTTCATGCAGGGGACTGCTGGTGGCCACAAGGGAGAGGTGCTGACCTTGTGCTTTTGCTTGTGGCCTTGGTGAGCATGTACAGGAGGGATGAGGAAGGGATGCAGGTCTCTGCCCACACAGGGCTGTCCTGCCCCTGGACCCAGAGTGGGGTCCAGACTAATGGAAGCCCAAAAGCTTTGGTGCTGCTGGTACCTGTGGTGAAGGAGGAGAAGAGCCTGG